TTAATGAAAAGTAAAAAGTATAACATAACTTCTAAAATTAAATATCTGGGAAGGTTTTGCTTGTTCTGATTATATTCTTGCTAAGCTAATCACATAATATATTTTATTTTTAAAAAACAAAATGGACTATATTACATTTATAAATAGAACTTTAAACGTTTCTAAGATTTTAATTTCTTAAGTTTGAAGGTGCCATTGACTGTTTAAGGGAGTTTTAGTGCTTAAGTGGAATGCGAAGGTTAAGGAAAAATAAGTTTAAAAATGTTTAATTTTAAATTAACAACATAATAAACAGGAACTTTTATATAGTTTTATATAGTTTCTGTGCTCTAGGGCCCTTCTTAAACATCAAAATACTCATACAGACAGATATAAGACAGGCCTACCTTGGACTCCATCGCAAAGGGCTTAATTACTGAAATACCAAGAAAGTCTTGTATTAGCATGTCTCATGGTTAAGACAGATTGATTTCACAGATTATAAAGAGAGTCTAATGGCTAGACTCCAATATTGCATAAAATTTTCTGAGATTAAGGAATGTTCACATCAGATCCTGCTTATTACAATTAAATTCATTATTTTTGTAACACTGATAAAAGTATGTTGGGCGAAAGTTTTATTTAATGTTGAAATAATATTTCGGGGGCTAAAGTAAACCCCAGATGCTATCTTCAAGGTTACAAAGCAATATAAATTACATTTTTGGCAAAATACAGTATCTTTTGACATCATACATAATAGATTAAGTATGAGATGCCTAAGAAAATTGACACAGTATAAAATAGGCCTGAGTGTGACACTGGTGTACAGATCAATGGTTAATTGTTAATACTAATTCTCTATCTTATCAGGCTCATTAAAACTGGCTGGGAATCCCCAAATCAAGAATTTCTACAGTAGACAAAAGAAAACCCATAATAATGTGAACTAAAATGCTCACCCCTCCCCCACCAGCTGACTGAATGGGCCCCCTCCTGGCCAAAGGAATATGCTAAAGCAAAATTGCCTGCCAGGAGGATGGAGGTCAGACATGCCTTATCATGCCCTCCTCCCTTCATGGGGACATCCTTTGTAACTCATTAACAGGCCTAAGGGTATGCAACACAATCTTGCAGGTCCTCAATTTACACAACAAATCTATGTCTGGTGGCTTATCTCCTTATGTTAAAACATTCCAAGCCTTTAGACAAAGCTTCATGTCTTTAACCAATTACAATCCAAAGAATCTTTAAACCCACCTATAACCTGTAAATCCCTGCTTGGATATGTCCCACCTTTTTGGGCCAAACCAATGTATGCCTCCCACGTATTGATTTATGACTTTATCTGTAACCCCCATCTCCCTGAAATGTACAAAAACCAAACTGTAACCCAGTCACATCGAGTCCACTTGCCCAAGGCCTCTTGGCAGTGGCTCCGGGTCATGGTCCTCATATTTGGCTCAGAATAAATCTCTTTAAAATTATTTTACAGAGTTTGGCTTTTTTTTCGTTGACAATAATAAAAGCAAGGAATTATGAAACAGCCATTAAAGATATTTGAGATCTAAAAGAAAAGCGAGAACCTAGAAGACACATAATATCATAATCCAGGCTTTCATTGCCTATTTCGGCTGTTGCAATATCTTCTAATTTGCTGAATCGTTCCAAATAGGGTAGAGACTGAATAAAGCAAGCAACCAACCAACAAAGCACATGAAATATTAGTTCCATAATGCTATAAGCCAATAAAGACCATTCCCCCCAAAATCAAAACATGTTCACTAAATCATCCAGTTTAACTAGATAGTCAGAAGTTTTTCTTTTCACTTAAAATCAATTGTCTTATAATGGAGGTACAAGTAAAGGTCTGATTGAGAGATGTGGGCATCTATAGATCTTGGTTTTAAAGGTATACAAGTTTAAAAATGTGACTCAATTATATATTATCTCATCTTTGTAACTGTTTCAAATTATACATCATACCAGGCTACCTATCTGCCAATAACGTGATATTAGAGAAGACTGAATAAGATTACATGACGACCATTTCTACCTTCAAATGCCAAATAACTAGAGCCTTTCATGATTGAGTTAGTCATGATTACTAGGTGTTCTAGAGGTCACATTTTTTTAAAAGTCCTAGTATGTTTATAACTTCATTCTCATGTTGGTTACATACTCGTCAAAGAAAGAATTTCAAAACTGAGATATTAGCTGTGATCTCTTAAAATTCATCACTTAGCAGTAAATAACATTTAGCAGCAGATATATAAAAAAATCTTTCATAAAACTAAAGTCTTTCACTTTCAACATCAGTTACACCTGGTTCAAATTTTTGCACTCTCTGACAGTGTGAACTATGTGGCTCTCTGCGCCATAAATTCCTCATCTGAAAATGGGAAAAATAATACCTACTTCATAGGATTGATGTACAGTTCACTGACACACTGTATGTAACATATTTGGCCTATATATTGCATATAACAATGTCTAGAAACTTCCAAATACAGTTTTTTTTATTATAGTGATAAGGTAGATAACAACACAGATTATTAACTTCACATTACAAATGAGAAATCAGAAAATGAGAGATTTGTGAGTCAGCAGTGGATAAGTTTAAACCATTGCCATGAAGGGGACTGGGCAATTTCCTACAGTGCTTTAATATAAGAAAAAGTATCCTTCCCTCCAAGTCCAAAAATAAAGGCTATTCCAAAGCTACTGGACAAATATTAGCCACCTCTGAGAGTACTTTCTCATAAAGCAAATGGTACCTGAAAACACCAGAAACCTACATTCTAGGTGTGGTATGACTTCATTCTCTTAGCCAGAGTGCCTCAACACAATGGAGTTCTTTAAAGAATAATTTAAAACCTAGCTTAGAAGACAGGAAAAAAGAATAATGCACAATCTCTTGCCTTCATTGCATTAGCTGTGTGTGTGTGTGTGTGTGTGTGTGTAATCAATCCAACAGTTTGGTTTCTTTTGTATAAGCGTAAATTTTTAAAAGAAACACATTAAGACTTTGGTGGCTTTTTTAAATTATACAATTGGCTTTTCAAAAACAACTCTCCTACAACACTGAGTTTACATTTGGTTCTCCCAAGGTTATGGCTGCAACTCCTTCTATCCAACCCTTCACCTTCCACACCCACACGCATATTTTCCCTGCTAGGCATTTCCGCGTTTTTCCTGCTGGGCATTTCAGTAGGAACTCCCGCAGCCAGGACATTGTGAAAGCACTCTACTGCCACGCCTCCTCATGTCTCACTGCTGAATAGGTGAGAAACACTACCATGAAACTGAGCCTTACCCAGATCTCTTTGTTACATATGTAAATAAAATAAGATCCAATTTCAAAGACATATTTGGTTTGGGAAAGCTATGGTGCTACTAAGACAGGAAATACAATCATAAATGGAGGACAAATTCCCTATGGCATCATGGTTTCCTAAAAACAACGTATACACTAGCCTGGTTTCTCAGAATGGAAATGTCACTCCTATGGAAAAAAAAAGCTCAACCTTGCACAGATTTGCTTTTAACTGTCAAAAAAAGAAAAAAAAAAAAAAAATCCCAGAGAGATTCCTGCTGCCCAACAAGTAAATCTAAGATTACAGCATCAAATCTGTTGTAGCACCAACAAAATAAATTCCAAATTGTTTCTTCCTTTGACAAATACCCAAAATAACTTCCACAATTTTAATACCAGGTCAAACAGTTTTATTACAAACAATACCAAACAAATACTTTATTCCTACTAATTGTTAGTGAGACACTGGCCACATTAAAAACCAGGAGATAACCTTGGGAGAAAAGTGACTTATTCGAATTAGAAAGGCTAAATAAAATGATAGGAAAATAAGAACATTCAGACAAAAAGAACCACATGCTTATTAGTTCATTTTCATACTTTGAATATTATTCTTTTAAAATATAAAATATACTTCTCATTTATTTTAACTATTGACTAACAAATTTAATGTGGATTATCAAGAGTTCCCAATATTCAATACCTTCTGTCATTTAACCTAGACTTTAAAAAATAAAACCTGTAAAGAAATCCTTTAAGTTGAGAAAGGGAAAGACTCTTTTTGAACATCAAGCATAAAGACAATATTTGATGAAAATGTTATGTTTACCTATCCAAAAACTCAGAGGTAAAATTATGAAAGATGTTTAACTGTCCTTGTGTAGGCAGTAATAATACATAGTACAGACTTCAAACTCCATCAAAAAAATTTTTAATGCCTCCAAAAGTATTAAATTGCAAACCCTGAAGGAAAAAGAAAAGCCAGTATAAAGCCCCTTAAAATTTATAACAGTATAAAAGAATGAATAAAACAACTGGTACTGTTTCCACAGCTGGGTAAGACCTCGGCCTTCACCAGTGCCACTAACTTTGAGAGCTACTTCATCAGATGGCATCCTCTAAAAACTTCAGTTATGAAGTTACTACTAGAGATGCAAAAACCAAGAAAGATTAGGGGAGTGAGATATGAGGTCAGAGACAAGTGTTAAGGATTAAAGCCACCAGTTTGTACTTAATTAAAATTTTTCATATACATGCAAAAGGCAACAAAAGCAGGCACACACACACACACACACACACACACCCCAGAACGCGTTCCAAGAAAAAGAGAAAGAAAAACCTATTAGGTACAAATTCAGATCAAATCTATTAATATTAGATACAAATCAGATACAGGAAGGGGTAGTAGTTCATTATGAGTCTACTTGAAATTCCTGAAATGCAACTACAAAACTTGTCTAACATCTTCTCTTCCTGGTACTCTAACAAGTCATTTAAAATGCATTTTACAAGCTTAGGGCAAGTTGTAGAATAAAGAGTGCTATATACAACTCAAAACCTGTCCCCTTCAGCTCTAAACCTTCCCCCAGAGAAAAGAAAGTCTTGCTGGAAAAGAGACTGAAACACAGAGGACGGAAAAGGGGTGGTGGGGGTGAGCAGAGGGATAAACTGGTTAAGAGCAAAAAACCACGAATTCCATGATTACCTGAACTTGTCTTCGCTTTCTCCCTCTTCACAGTCAGTCATCTGGGTTATAATTTCAGAATCCAACCAAAAGACACTGTCATCCCCTGAAGTGCTACTCTCACTTTCAGTCTCCATCTTATATTTAAAAAAATTTAAACCTTCAGCATGGACTAAAGAGCACCAATGTTCAGGCTGTTCGCCTCTATTTACACACACTCAGGTGTGTGGCTGGTACACCAGTGACAGGTGATGGTGCCGGTTTAATTATAGTCCGGGTGCAGACAGGAAATCACAGGCATCTGACTGCTGCACTGGTGACACCTGAACCCTCCCACTACCTCAGGCTTTGTGACCTACATAGCCAAAAGCAGAATCCAAATGAAGGTGACTTTTCACTAATTATTTATTCTTTAAATAATTATTTTTCTCTTCTCAAAGTTTCCAGTTAATAAGTTAAAAATAGGTATTTTCAAAAAGCAGGCTTTCCTTTATTTGCATTCTTTTGCAATCTCAGACTTAAGAAAGATAAACAGAAAACTAGAAAGGATAACACTATATATGTAAAGGTCTCCAGGGCCAAGCAAGATGAGAGGCACAATTATAGATCTTACGGTTAAGGAGGCCTACTCACAATTAATAGAGAAGATAAGCATGGTCCAGGGACCTGCCCAACTTCATGCCTTCCAATCTTACACCCATCTTTCCTTCCAATCAATAAAATAACTGCTATATACACCTTTGCTTGTTCATGGTCCTTTAAAGAAATTACAAGTTAAAAGATGTTAACAATCCCATCAAAAACAAGCATGCAAACTTTTTACACATTTACACTGCAGATGGAGGCAATAAAATGATCTGCTGGGAAATGAATGAAAACTATAGTATGACTCTGTCAACAAACACAACTGTTACTTAGAAAACAGCCATGCTAGTACCAACCCTAACATGTCATATCTTCATGGTTATTTGTTTTTTACTAAGCAGCATCAAACTACTGAGCCCTGACTTTTCATTAAATTTGATTAGATTAAAAAATTTTAAAGGCATCATTGGGCTATCCTTGAATTTTCATATCGAAAATAAGAAAAATGAACCTCTAGCTGACTTTGCTTATACAATACCTTATTCCCCTATATAAAATTATAATTTATAAAAGTTATTGTTTTAATCTTGATGCTTCACAAATTCATATAGTTTTAGTCTAAATAGAAACTAAAATTTATTGTCAAGCCTGAGAATAGATTTAGAAAACAAACTGTTCTCAATAGCAGGTGACTTGTAAAAACTGAACATTTCATAAAGACATATCTTGCAAAAGACTCTAATAATTTCTACAAATGACAAATACATAGCAACTTTTGACCTGAACAATTATCCCTTCCTCAATCTATCCATTAAAATAAAGTCCCAATAAATCAAAATTTTAAATATAAAAATAAAACTTATAGAAGTTTCTTATCATCTGTGGGATAGTCTTTTCTACGTATAACTTTAAAAAGTCCTGAAACCATAAAAGACTGATAATATCTTACTGTATAAAAATGTTTAAATCTTCCATAACAACAAAAAAGCCAAGTCAAAATACAAACAAATTGAAAAAAAATATTTCGAACATATCACAAAGGGTTAATTTCTTTAATATATATAGAGTTGCTGCAAATATTAAAGACTCAACAATTCAAAAAGTAATAGGCAACGAAGAGAGACAGACTAATCAGAGAAAAATACAACAGAACATAAAAACATATTAAAAACTATTTAACTTCACTCATAACAAAAAAGTAAAAAAACAACAAGATGTCTTTTTTTAATCTATCAGATAGGCAAAGATTTAAAAAGGTCTTAACAAACTGGAAGAAGATATGACAAAATAAATGTGCAGTGCTGGTGGGACTTTAAACTACTATAATCTCTGTGCAATTTGGCATAATTTACCAAAATTCAAAATGCACATCTTTTTGGGCCAACAATTCCTCTTCTAGGAAATTATCTTATTTTCACCAGTTGAAATAAGAGGTGAACAGGAGTATTCATTATGGTATACTTTATAATAGCAAAATAGAATAGCAAAAATCTAACTTCCTCAGTAAGAGAAAACTAGATAATCAAATTATGAACTATCCATAGAATGGAATGCTATACAGGAAAGTAAATGAGAAAACAAAGCAGCCCTATTGGTCATGTTATGGAACAAACCCTAAGACATACTATTAAGGCAAAGAAGAAAGAGGTAAGAGTATAGAATAGGCTATGTGGTATCCTGCTATTCATATTCTCAATGAGGAGGAAGAGGGAACACTCATGACTATAGATGCTCAGAATAGCTACAGAAGGAGAGTGCCAATAACAGCAGTTGTCTCCAAGGAGGAAAATAGATGCTTGGAGAAAAGGAATAAAAGACAGTTTTTCACTATATCATGCACATATAATCTTGCAAAAAATTAATTAGTTTTAAGTATAATCTTTTATGTCCCTCAGTGTCTAAGTCTTCTTTTTCTTCTAAACAATTCTAACTCCCTCATTGTGTTTTCATGAATCCTATTCCCCTTTCTTTTTAATAATTTGTTTTTTTCATTATCATGGTTGCTTTACTACACTTCTTCAAGCCCTTTTAAACATAAAAAAGTGAAGTTCAAGCAGCATTTTTACATAGAACACTGATGGACAGGCTGACTAACATTAAGACTACCTTGGAAAGCTCCTTTTCTAGTCCTGCTGCCACTTCAGAATCCCACCTCCCCAGACACTCCTGCTATGGGTAGAACTTTCTATCCCACCACCTAACATATGCACAAGTATACCATCCAAGACTGCTTCTCAGATAGACTCTGTTATCAGAGCTTTATGCAAATGTTTTTCTTTTTTTTGAGACAGAGTCTCACTTTGTTGCCCAGGCTAAAGTGAGTGTGGTGGTGTCAGCCTAGCTCACAGCAACCTCAATCTCCTGGGCTCAAGCGATCCTCCTGCCTCAGCCTCCCGAGTAGCTGGGACTACAGGCATGGGCCACCATGCCCGGCTAATTTTTTGTTTATGTATTTTTAGGTGGTGGGTTAATTTCTTTCTATTTTTAGTAGAGATGGGGTCTCCTGCAGGCTGGTTTCGAACTTCTGACCTTGAGCGATCCTCTCGCCTTGGCCTCCCAGAGTGCTAGGATTACAGGCGTGAACCAGCATGCCTGGCCTATGCAAATGTTTTTAACTTCAAAATCAACTTGTGTTTCTGTTTTCTGTTCCCTTCTCCAGTAGCCAATGAAAATCCAGCAGAAACAAAAACCCTGGATAGCAAACAGGGCAGGAATGGAACAGAGCAGAGTCCATCACTGAGGCTATACAAGTGAGAGAGAGGGACTAGATATTCCTTAAGACCACAAGATAGCTTCAACCCCTTTTCCTGATTTGTTTAAACCCCAAACAGGCTTCACTTCCCCAATAAGCATTTGTAGAGCTTAAGTCTCTGATCTAAACCATAGGAGTCACCAAGTATTGTCCAGAACTAGGTAACTCTCATCGTCTACAACCAAAAAGGAAAGAAAGCAGAGGGAAAGGGAAATATCTGATCCCACAGCAGAAAGTAGAATTCTTAGCAACAGTTTAAGAATCCCAAGGTAGAATGAAATTTTAAGAGAAATAATTGTTAAAAAGTGGCTTATTTTTCTAGTAGCAGCAGTAAGTAGTTACTATAACAACAAATACACTTGGCCCTCTATACTCATGAGTTCCACATCCATAGATTCAATCATTTGGTTGAATGAAAAGTATTCAGGAAAAAAACATAGATGGTTGAATATATAATGAACATGTACAAACTTAATTTTTTATCATTATTTCCTAAACAATACAGTATAATAACTATTTGCATAGCATTTACATTATACTAGGTATCATAAGTAATCTAGAGATGATTTAAAGTAAACAGGAGGATGTGTGTAGATTACATGCAAATACTACAACATTTTGTATGAGGGACTTGAGCATCCTTGGATTTTGGTATCCACAGGAGTCCTGGAACCAATCCCTAATGGATACAAAAGGAAGACTATATACACCGAGCACTTACTCTATGTGCCAAGCATTGTGCTAAGGTCCTTACATAATGAATAATATAATTCCCACAACCACCCTATGAAGTAGGTGCCATCATGATCCTCATATTACAGGTGAAGAAACAGAGGCTTAGCATAATAACTTGTCCAGGGTTACCCAGCTCATACTTTTGCATTAATAATATTTTAAAAATCAACCCAAGACCTATGGAATGTTATTTCTGTCAGAAAAAAATATGTGGTTTTCGTTTTGATCCACATTCAGCTCATTTGCCTGGCCCTCCCTGATCTCATAATATTATTACTTTTTTTCTTTTTTGGGAGAAGGGGTGATGGTATGCTGACCTACATTCGTTTCTATATCTCATACCCCATAAATTTACCTAAATGTCTGAACAAAGAATATATTCAAAGGTTGACTACTAGAGAATGGTATAGATATGAGATCACAGAGAAAAACAAAAGCAGAGCAGGAGTAAAACCAAGGTCTTAATACTCTCACTTAAGTGCTCCTTTTCTCCCATAATAATATTAGAATTGTTTTTACTATACCTGTTCAATACAATGTATGGCACATAGCCAACAGGTCAATAAGTGTCTCCTTAACTGGGCACCAAGCTTTGTCCACAGAATACTTCCCAGCTATGATTCTAAATGATATAATGCTCCTCAGAAAATTTTATATTTTGTGAATAATGTGTACTATGTGTAATATATATGTGTGCAAATTAAGGCAATGTACATAAAGAACGCAATACAGTATTCTCATATAGACCAAGATAAATAAAAAACAGAGAACATAAAATAGCAAAGGAGAAAAGTAGAAACAAGTATCTGGTCTAAATAACTAAGAAAACTTAAACTGAGATTCTTTTTACATCAGGATCTCAGAATCATGAAATAAATTTATGTATCAGGGCTTAATAAGAATTCAATTCCATTTCTAAATATTTCCCATCCCAACCTATGAAGAACCAAAATCAATGGTATTTACACCACATTAATAAACAAATCCAATGCCCAAAGTATGTCTATAAGTGCATGGAATCCATCTATTTACTGTTGAATTTATACACTATATCACTCCGTATCATTGTTTCCCTTTTCAAAAGTTCACATATGAAGCAAATTGAGGAGGAAAAATAAATAAGTAAGTACCCAAAAGCCAACTCAGAAATACTTTGTTGTAGCACTCAAAAGTTCAAGGTGCTCATGTAAAGGGACAAAAAGAACAACAGCATCGGCATGAACATACTCTACCAAATGAAATAACTTTCCTCTCAGGACTGCTTTAGCTGTGTCCCACAGGATTTGGTAACTTGTGTCACCTTTGTCGTTTAGTTCAAAGAATCTTTTGATTTCCATCTTGATTTCCTTGTTTATGAAGTGATCATTCAGCAGAAGGTTGTTTAGTTTCCATGACTTTGTGCAGAAATGAGAACTCCTGTTAGGATTGATTTCTACATTTATTCCATTGTGGTCTGAAAAGATACATGGTATAATTTTTATTTTTTTAAATTGTTTGAGAGGTGCTTTGTGTCCTAGGATATGATCAATCTTAGAGAATGACCCATGAGCTGATGAAAAGAATGAATATTCAGTGGTTTTAGGGTAGAATGTCCTGTAAATGTCACTCAGGCCCATTTGTTCTAGGGTTCTGTTTAAGTCCATTATTTCTTTGTTGATTTTTTGTTTGGAGGATCTGTCCTGTGCTGTCAGTGGGTTGTTAAAGTCTCCGAATATTACAGTTTTGCTGTTTATCCATTTTTTTAGATCAAATAGAGTTTGCTTTATGAATCTGGGTGTCTACGTATGGGGGTGGGGCTAACACCCACAGTCTAGAGTGGGGCTCACTTCTTTCCGCCCTCCCCAACTCTGCGGCTACTCCTGGGCCTCTGCCAGCAGGCCAGACCTCATGCCACTGGGCCTCTCCTGGCTGTGATGCTGTCCGGGAGGTTCCCTGCACAGGAACACCACCTGGGCTGGGCCCACGGCCTCCCTTTGGGAGGAGGTTTGCCCTCTATGACGCTGTTCTGCCCCTGAAGGCACACACACCTCAGTAGGCTGTTCGCTTGTATCCCTTCTGTGTCCCGGGCAATGCGAGACCTGGGTGCACGGGATCTGGTCTGCAGGTCTGACCTCTGGATCCCAGATTTCAAACTACATCCCCACCAGGGAGAGCAGTGCTAGTCCCAATTCACCCACAGGGAGCCCAAGCTGGGTCTTTGTCTCTCAGCCTCAGGGTCTGCCCCGTTCTCCTGGGATCACCGGGCCAGCAGCACGTGAGAGGGCTGGCGGGTAGGGACCTCACCCTCTGAGTTCCCCTCAGTCAGCTGTAGGGTCCCAAAAGGGATGGTCCCGCTCCTTGAAGGTGCCTCTGGCTGGTGGCTATATTGTCTCTCTCCACAGCTGGGGATAGTGTTGGGGGACGGGAGAAGGAAACAATATGGCGCCTGTCGTGCAGCTCGGGTCTGTGCACAGGGAAGTGCCCTGCAGGGGTTGGGAGCCTGGTGCCGCGTCTGCTACAGGCTTACCGCTCGCTG